TTTGGTATATGTTAATCGGGACAGGTATAAACCAATCCAAAGAGGATCTCTGAAAATGAGATAAGATTGTGTACATAAGGGATTTCAGTAGCTCAACTAAATCAGTTATAAAACTTCTAATTTAAACTAATGCTACCTATATTTGGACAGTAAGAATTAATGGGCTGCAGCTCTCCTGCAAGGAAAATGTTGCCAGTGGGGATCCAGTCCAAGAAATCCTGTTCTTCAAAAGCAGCATAGTCTCTTTGAATTACCCTAAAAACATCAAATTACCTGTGAACTCAGTGATACTTAGCACATCACCACAAATTCATTTTGCAATGCTTAAAATAATCGATGTAATGCAGTTAGCATTTCTCCATAAGCTCCTAAATAAATCTAAATCCACTATTAAAATATCTCTAATTTCCAGCTGCAGTTTGGTAGCTGTGTCCCAACATATTTTAAAACCTCCTCCTCCTCCCTGCATATTTCTTTTTAGAAAAGACCAGTGGAGAAGCCAATAGATTTCTATAAATCACTGCTGGATGAAAACAAGCATAAAAAGGAGGCTTGAAGTTGTTTAATATTACAGATGTTTTGGAGCTCTATTCAGTAGTTGGCAAGTCACATGAAGCTGCTCTGAATTCTTTATAATCTAGACACAAAGATCATTGAACTCTGAAAGAACCTCTGGGCTTTTATTCAAAAATATGTTGGCTTCTATTTACCTCTTTCTTCATTTATATCTATCAAATGGCTCAATATATAAATAAAGCCCGGGTGTTCTTATTAGCCAAGGCAGTATTTCATGCAGATTAATGCCAGCAGGTTATGTAGAATACATCTCTATTCAAAGCTGGAGTATGTTTTGAATTAATTTTCATCCTGTATATGAATCAGGTATATTCTACTCCTTTTCTTATACAGACCTCAGCTGCAGTACATAGGAGGAACCTGTCGTGTTTAATTCTAGTCCCATCATCCTTCTTCAGCAAAGCACTTTTAACTCTAAGCATCTGCATAATCCCATTGACTTTAATGGGAGTACACACGTGCTCAGGTATATTAAAATTATAATTGAAAACAGCACCTTGCTTTCTCGGGGCCTAAGTGACATACCTAGCATTTTACCGAATGGTCTTATTTAAATATTACCTCATGTATATGTTATGAGCAAATCTTTCTAGTTCAATAAAATCAGGCTTATTGTTACTGAATTAAAAAAAATCTTTGCTTTTCTTTGCCTCCAAAGCAGGCTAAAACTCTCACACTAAACTGAAAATATTGCGTTGGCTAAAGGTATTTTGCCAGCTGAGCCAAAACACAGCAAGATGTTCATCTGCTCTTGGCCTTAGTAGAATAATGGGCAAGAAGATTTAATGGGATTGATAAAGTTATTGTTTTAAAGAATGCTTTGGTCGACTACCAGCTAGAAATTCAACATCTCACATAAGATATCTCAGCATTTGGCTAATTTTGCTGAAGTTAAAATGATTGCTCAAATGATCCCAGCTTTCAAGTGGTTGAGTGGGGTTTTTTCTGTGTAATATAAACACCCTCACAAGCAAAATCCCTCCACTGAGGCAGTAAGACTGTGATGAAACCAGAGAATGGAGAAAATATATATGTAAGATTATAGTGGATCACACGCAAACTGTTTGAGGCGCTCCAGCGTGATTTCATTCCCATCCCACGGAGACTCTGCCTAGCGTGTTCTAATAATGGAAATGTTTGGATTAGTCTATGTTCAATCCATTTACCTCAGCACCTCACCAAATGTGAGCTATGCCATCAGTCTAGATGACTAACTATTTGTAATTTAGTTGTAGCTTTCTTGTAGCTGTGGCGGTCCGGGGTCATTAGGGAGGCACGGTTTGCATTACTAATGCATTAGACTGACTGATCTGGTTGGAAAAGCTCATGTAGCTTTCTGGATACACAAGCTGTTCACTAGGATAGACCAGAGGTGTACCTAGAAGTTCTGTGCTCACATCTTCCCTTGAGCCCACCTGAAAGGATAAAGCCACTGTGAGGGCTGAAGTCCTAGGCTGAAAGTCATCAGTGACTTTATTTTCAGACACAGCAGACATGTGAGACTGCTGTTGGGTGTTGCCTGGGTTATAACACCGCTAAAAGGGAAAAAAAGTATTGCTTAGGCTTTTTACAATCAAAACATAGGGAACAAAGTAGTCAGGGACATGTTAGCAGGCAAAGAATTAAGAGAGAAAGAGGAAGATAATAGATTATTGCCAAAGAAAAGAGCAGTAACAGAGCTGTTTTATACCCACTGGTGCTCACTTTAGCATAGCTGCTACAGGCTTCCTTACAGACTGACTAGCAAATGCATGCTCAGTTTTGAGACTGCCTTCCTGGACTCTTTCACAATGCTGAGATTAAATATGCACATCTAGGTTTCAGGTTTTGTTCTAATGCTAGAAATGTCAGCTTTCTCTGATACTTTCTCTGACACTGTAAGTCCCCACAAGTCTCAGAGAGGAGTACTGTGTCACTGCTGCTGTTATTAGAAGTCTCAGTGTGATGGATCTCTAACAGAGAATTTCTTTTTCTGAAACGTGAAGTATTTGAGTATGTTCAATGGCTATTAACAAATGTTAAAGGATGTATGGGTAAAATGTAAATACCTTGTCCTCACAGTGGCATAGCTCTTGGTCATGACTCTCACTGGCTCTGCGGCCACTGGAGTTCTTTAGACTAAACAAGGGCTGAATTCCTAGGGTAGAAAGTACTGCAATAAAATCAAATATCAAAACAAAATCAGATCAAATTAACTTAAAAATCTACCCGTTTTTTCCCTCTCTGTCATTTCAGTCACCTTTAAATTCAGAAGAAAGAGTTTGAGCTCGTTTTACTGGCAGCACCCAGAAACATACTGATGAAGAGTACTGTTTCTGAAACGTCCTTTGTTTGAGAGCCTTTAACGGGGAAGAGGGAACCTTAATAGTCCTATATCACCAAGGCAGATCACAGAAGTCCAAATTTGAAGGATGCCCTAGCAAATCCTTCCCCTTTCTTAGGAGACCAGCCAGCGGGAGCATTACTCACATCTTATGTTATATAACAGCACTCAGAAGGTGGGGGAAAAAATAATAATAATTAGAAGATGATTCTCTGTGACAGCACAGCCCGGAGCCGCCGGAGCCCGGCGCTTTGCGGGCCGGGGCCGCTGGAGGGCACTGGCGCCCCGCGCCCGGCCGCCGGCAGGGAAAGGCAGTTTTTTTCTCTTTGAGGTCCTGTCATTCCTGTGTAAACAAGTTACGTTCAAGTGTTTAGGATATAAATTACGACCATGCAGGCTTGCCTCGGAAAGAATGTAAACACAGCACTGTGGTCGGAGCAAACTCTGAAACTGACTTTATAATTTATCACAGGCCCTGAGAAGCTCAGGGAAGAAAAGGGCATGTCTGAGCATAAATATGTATTTTAAAGATGAAGAGTTTTATGTCTATGTATAATTACATAGATATTATATATATATGGGTGGGTGGGTGGTGAGTGCATGAATATATACATATATACATATATATATATATATATTCACTTATATGTGTGCACACATGCACAGAACATTCTGCTGAAACTCTCTCCCCTTTTTCAGCGCTCCGGCGCGGGGCCGGGCAGGATCGGGCGCCGGTGCGCGTTGAGTTATGGGGACGATTCTGTGTCCCCGTCCGACGGGACGGGCTGCGCGGGGTGTGCTGGCCGTGCCGAGCTGCCCCAGGCCGGGCCGGGCCCTTCGGGGTGGGTTCGGAGATCATCCCCGGCCGTGGGGCTGGCTCAGCCCTGGGCTCTGCAGGATGCACAGAGGAGCAGCTCCTGGCGCCTGGCTCCGACTCTTGGCCGCTCGCCATCCACGGGGCACGGCGGCACCGTGGGGACATGGGTGTCTTTGCCTGGGGTGCCTCGGGGACCCTTTTTTTGTTTTATTTTGTACTTTTTTTTTCTCTTTTTCTCCTCTTCGGCCCGGTTCGCTACCCCCACCTTGGTCAGTGCTTGCCCTAGACCTTATTAAGCCACGGTTTTGTCGCCGCCCCCCCTGTGACAAGCCCTCTGGGGTACAAGCCCGCATTGCACAGGGGCTCCTGCCCCCACACCTGGAAAAGTCCCATCGGAGCACAAATGGACTCCGAGGCGGCTATGGGGAAAGGGGGCACGGGGACACCCAGACGCATCCCTAAAGAGCGAGGATGTTTCAGACCTCGAGGCGCCCTCCAAGAGACGATCATGCAGTCCTGACTCTCCTGTTTTTGTGTCCTCTACCTCGGTTATTTCAAAGTCTATACAGCAGCAGTGGAAAACAGGGTGGGAAGTGCGTGACGGCGGGAGGTGCAGACCAGGGAGCATGGCACCGGCCTCCTCAGGTCAATCTCTCTCTCTCCTCCTCCGCCTGCAGTGACTGGAGGATTTGGGGTTGCATCTTTAACTCTCCCGGACGCTGGGGTGGAAGAGTTTTCTCAGAAGGAGCCAAATGACAATAAGTGGCTTGCCTGTCAAGTGAATGTCGTTTATTGGGAAAAAAATTTTTACATCAAAATATTTTGGCAAACTGTAAAAAGTATACATAAGTGCAAATATATTCTCCTTTTAAAGCAATAGTGTGTGAGTATACACGAGATTTATTTAAAATAGTTTTTTAAAAAATATTGTGGTAGAAAACAACTTTTGTAAAAATAAAAAAACAAAACGTTGTATTGCTGCAATACTGGAAAAAAATTGAACTTTTCTTACAGTCTATACACGAAAGGGCTAAACAATACTGTTTTAATAATATCAATTGCTCGGTGCTGAAGTCCATACAAAGTGTCCTTGGTGGGGCTCGGGGAGAGAACACAATGAAAAAATACATTTCCCGCTAGCGCAGTAACAGAATGGGGAGTCCTCGCAGGTGCGGAGACATTTATTTTTCTTATGCAAAGACACTTTCTCATACAAAAATATGTCGAATTGCTCCCTTTCCCAAAGCTCGGTTCTTTAGGAGATCGCAGGAAGCCGGTTTATGATTAAGGTGGTCAGACTTGGCATAAGGACGCTTACGTCCCCCCTAACCCAAAACATCACGCAAGGCATTTTTCTTTTAGTAAGACCTTTGGAGCATTATATCGGCTGTACGTGTCCTTCAGGGGGTGGAGTGGGACCGAAAACACTGCTTCCTTAGGCACATTTGCTAAGTGACTCGTGTACTATCAATGCTATCAGAGTGCACGTTATATTTAATCTGCGTGGGTCCGTCTACACCTCGGCTCTGTTCAGGGACACCTGATTGTCTCTGTTGGGGCGCAGCCTTCACATCACGCAGGGCTTGATGTCTTGACAGACGCTTTGGTGGTGGTGATGGTGGTAGTAAGATCCACTAGCGGACGGGTGAAACGAAGAAATGCCATTAAAATTGAGGACAAAATCTTTCCTGTCACACACCGGGGAGGGATGATGCTGGTAGCGAGGCAGTCCCACTGCAAGAGAAGGAAATAACAAGAGCTGCTCAGAAGTCGAAGAGCTTTTCCCGGGTGGAGCAGTCCTTCCTCCCTCACCCGCAGGGAAGTGAGGCTGCCTGCACAGAGCTGGCACACCGCTCCCTCATCCCCGGTCTCTGCTCCCCCTGCAAGGTTTGGTAACTCCTCTTTGGCTTTCCTGGCAGAGGACTTGGACTCTCCCCCAGGGGCAGAGCCTGACCTGCTGCAGGGCAGGGAGACCGGGGGTTCCATTGCCCCGAGCGAGGAGGGGAAGTGGATTCCCCGGAGCCCCTCATCGCCTGCAGTTCGGCTCGGAGCTACACCCGCTCTCGTACGAGCCCCCGAGCCTGCTCTGCAGGGAGGTTCTAGACTACCCAGCCGTGCGGCACGCAGGCTAAAGAGAGGAAGGAGTGCGGGGGTGGATGCCCACGGACAAGCGCCCGGTCGCATCCCGGGCTCGCAGACATCTCTGGGCATTCCTCCTGGGTGGATGGACACGCATTGCTGTCTGCCTGCCCTCTGCCTGGGTATTTTTCAGCGTGGAGGGGTAGTTCAGCCTCTGCGTGGGGAATAGATGAGGGAGTGTGTGTTTTGTGCGTGTGTGTGAGAGAAAGTGGAGACGATGCCCCTTGCGTGTTTTCCTGCGTGCACCACAGCCTTTTGAACCCGATTCCCATCTTTCCTCGCTCTTCCCGCTCCCTATCCCGTTCCTGGGAGGATTTTGCTTCTGACTTGAGAGGCTGCAGGTTGAATTCCAGTCAGGATGCATTTGTGTGTTGATACAGTATGTATTTATTTATGTGTGCGCGTGTAAGAGCGTTCACGCCTTTTCGCGTGTATGCTTTCATAAACATAAGATACACCCTACGGTTCATCAACAGCAACAAGCCAAGTACATCCGTGGCACCGACATGTAAATGAACTTGCAAATTCCCATTGTAATTTCCCACAGCCTAAGGCAGCCTTTCGGGGGCTGCATGGGAGATGTCACCCCACCCCCAACACCGAGCCGTAGGACCGTGCTGGAATCTTTGGTTTGCCAGGGTTCCTACTGGATCCGGCAGGGAGGGGAGCATTGCCCGAGCAAGGCCCACAGGGTAGAGCCAGGGAGGGTTTTTGTTTGGCGTGTGGATGTCAAACTCGGCTAGCGGAATCCTGTCAAATATGACCGAGGGTCAAGGGAAAAAAAAAATAAAAGGCGAGGAGAAAAAAAACCAAAACCAAAAAAAAACAAAACCAAAAAACCGAAAAAAAAACCCCAAAACCCAAAACATTAAAAGAAAGAGCAGGAGAGTGAGGGTGTAGGGGGGAAAAAAACAGGAGGGAAACGTCCCCGGTTTTCCTCAGGATGGCGGAGCCGAACCCTTTGGCGGCGTCGGCCGGCGGCGCGCACCGCCCGTTCTCCTCCGGCATTGTCCCCTCCTTCACCCCGCAGAGCTCACTTTATAAAAGTGATTATTTCGCTGGATTTCCTCGGCTTTCTAATAACCCTGCTGGTATGCTCGCCATAAACTGGGGCACTTTATTACAATCCTGATTCAATCATTTAGCAGGATTTAATAGTCTGCGAAAAAAATCCGGCTCCCCCTGCCCCCCAGCTTCAAAATCCTTTTAGCAGAACCAAGCCTCCTGTTTCCAATTTTTACCTCTCTTATTCTTGGGTCTGATGTAAATTCACGGTTTTAAGTCCTCCCTGACGCTGCCATGGGTAAAGAATTATTGACCGATCAACAACGATTGCCACAGAATTTGCTTTGCATTTAACTAAGAGAAAGGGACAGGCGAATTTCACTTGCTGCTGCTTTTGCGGGGACAGTAGGAGAAAGATTATTGCTGATTACAAGTACAAATAAAAAACTTGGATCCTTTTTTCCCCACCTCCTTTTACTCTTCTGAAATATTTATACCATAGAGATTTTACATATCATGCATAAATAAGGATTGGATCCACTAATAAAATAAAAATAAAATAAAGAATTTGGTTTGAATTTTGTTCAGTTAATTGAAGACTGGGTATGGCTTGCGCTAAAGTCTTGGGCCCAGATACTGAAACTGTAGAAAATAAGCGGAGAAACACCGTTTTGCAAAGCGATGGCATTAAATCTGAGCTGCTGGAAAAGGACGCTCGTGGTCGGTATTAAGACAGAGTCCAGCGGTCTGTGTGCGTCTGTATCCGTCCCTGAACAGAAACAATTCGGATTTAAACCGCCCCAGACTCGAAAACCTCAGTGGGACTCCGGGAGGACCAGAACTCTTGCTCTCTCTCCTTCTGCTTTTTGTTTTGTGGAGGTATTCTTGGGCTGTTTCTGGATGAAAATATCTCTCCCAGGAATCAGCTTTCTTACCTCAGGTGTCTGGCAGGAGGAGAGGGCAGCTGCCTCCCAGCCCCGCTCCCCGGGCCAGTCCCACTCCTGCACCGCGCGTGGCCCCATGGGCCCTGTGTGGCGGAATGCGCGGCCGCAAATAGTAAAACAAACAGAGGAAGAAAAGATCCAAAGAAAGAAAAAGAAAAGAAAACAAAAATCCAAGCAAAAACAACAAACCAAAGCAGAAATTCCTAACGGAGAAGGTACGTAGTTCGGCGGGGGATGCCCTTGTGAACTCGCCAGCCTCTGGCCCTGGCTCTAAAAAGCACGTGGAAGGACGTCCTATAGCTCCGAAAAGTTGCTTTAAACCTCAGCAGCAGAGCCCTGTGGGCACAGAAGAGCTCAACTGGGGACGCATCTCGTCCGCTCTCTCCCCTGTGCCGAAACGCCGGGGAGACAGCGACCCGCTTTGCAGCCGCTTCTCCCCGGAAGGCACGTCAAGGCTATTTAGGCCTTTGGGGCTTTTGTTTTTAATGGAGGAAGGTTTGTCAGTGCTTGTTCTCCCCTGACAGCCCACGTCCCTTCTGGGATGATGGCAAAGCGACTTGCATGGTGGCTGCCCTCCCCACGGCGACAGCGGGCTGTGGGGAGGCCAGGGCAGGCTGCGGCGCTCGCAGGACAGGAAAATGATTGACAGGCGCCCAGGGAGGGGGCGGGAGGGGACCCAGAGCTGAGGGTCGCCTGTATTTGTTACTTGTTGAAATTCCCATAAAATTGAACAAGACCCCGCTCTCATAGGGGTTAAGTCAGGCTAAAATCCTCTTCGGTGTGGTCCAGCCCAGACTGTCTTTGTTTGCTTAACCTCTGGGACCCACGTTTAAAAGGGCTATTTGGAAAAATTCCCCGTAAGAGCCCAACATCTTTTACCCATTTTTGTGCTCGGATTTTTCTGAGCAGACATTGTCTGTAATCACCGGCCGGGGAGGAGGTGAGGGGGTGGGAGACAGCGACCAGAAAACTCTTTCCCTCCGGTCGCAGAAATATACTCGATCCGCTTTAATCTTTCTAGCATTTTTTAAGATAAGGGGGTGGTTTGGTGTTAGAGGGTTTTTATTTTCTTTTTAATTCCCCTTCCCCTCCCCCCCCTCCGGTATGGTTTAGAGGATAATACTTGACGCCTTTATTTGATTACTCCCGCGGCGCGTCTCCGCGGAGCGCGGTTTACCGAGGCGGCGGCGATGCCCGGCGGCGTTCCCCGCCAAGTGAAGCCGCAGCACGGGGCGGAGGGGTTCAGCCCCGCTGCCCTCGCCGCGCACATGTCGCCGGTACCGGGAGGGGGACGCGCGAACCAGGACGGAGCCGGGACGAAGCCGGGCTTTCCTCGGAGTGCTCCTTCTTGGCACTGGGCAAGCAGGAGGGATGCTCGCAGCCCCCGTCAAACAGCCCCCCTAGTCCCGAAACACAACAGCTCCAACCCACGCGTATTTTTTCCCTCTCGCAAACAATGCACCTCTTTTTTTCCGACACCGTGGTGGTCGGAGGTTCCCCGCGCGAAATTTTTGTCGCCGGAGAAAACCCCCTCCGGCGCCGCTTTCCCCGCCGCCCCCGCCGCCCCTCCGCGCCCCTACCTGAGAGGTCGTCGCGGGGGCTCTGGTGCAGGTATCCCTGCTCCAGGGAGTAGGAGGGCACGCTGGAGTGGATGCCGGAGGAGGCGGCGTTGGCGGCGGGGAGGCCCTGCTGCTTTATGTAGGGCGAGGGCCCCGAGGCTGTCCAGTGAGCCGAAGGGCTCGTGTAGGGCGAGTGGCACTCGATGGCGCTCGCCATGGCCGGCGACGAGGGCACGGGGCTGCTGCTGCTGTCGGGGCCGTAGTCCCCGTTGGCAGTCACAGGGCAGCTGGCCATGTAGGTCGAGCCGGGGTTGGGAGACATGTGTGGGACGTGGTGGCCGCCGCTGAGTCCCTCGTAGCCGCTGGCCATGGCGTTGGGCATCATGTCGAGGTTGTAGCCGTTGGAGTGGCAGGCGAGGGAGGCGGGGGGCGCCTGGAAGTCGAAGCCCTGCGGGAGGATGGAGGCGCCGAAGCCCAGCCCGTTCATCATGCGGTACATGGGCTTCAGCGCCTGGCATTTCCTCCTGAAGCCGCGGGGCCGCCGTCGGAAGGAGCCCTCCTCGAACATGAATTCGCTGGCCGGGTCGATGGTCCAGTAGTGGCCCTTGCCCGGGCGGCCCAGGCCCTTGGGCAGCTTGATGAAACACTCGTTGAGAGAGAGGTTGTGGCGCACGGAGTTCTTCCAGCCCTGATAGGAGCCGCGAAAGAAGGGGAAGCGGGCCTGCAGGAACTGGTAGATCTCGCTGAGGGTTAGGCGCTTGGAGGGCGAGCTCTGGATGGCCATGACGATGAGGGCGATGTAGGAGTAGGGGGGCTTCTCGGGCCGCCGCAGCCCCGAGCTGGCCTTCTTGCTCTTGGAGGACGCCGCCGCCGCCGAGGAGGAGGAGGAGGAGGTGGAGGTGGAGGAAGAGGAGGTGGAGGTCTCCAGGGCGGAGGAGGGCGGCCGGCTCATCTGGAGAGCTCCGGGAGCCGGGCTGCAGGAGCGGAGAGGGACGGGGGGCTCCAGCCGCTGCTGCCCGCTCTCGGTGGTCATCTGGCGGAGGGAGGGGAATGGGGCAGGGTGGGGTGAGGCTGGGAGGGAAGGGGGGGAGCCGGGCGGGGTGGGTACCGGGGCGGGGGGTGCCCTGAAGGGGGAGAGCGGGGGGGCGGTGGGAGCCGCTGTCCTCCGGGCACCTCCTCAGCGCGGCGGGCGGCGGTGGGGAGGCGGCAGCGCCCTGCGCATCCCTCCCCACGGTCCCTTGCGCAATGGCTCCTCTGCTTTCCGCCGGAGCCAGGCACTGGGCGGGATGGACCGGCCCAGCCCCGGCCCCGGCCCCGGCCCTGGTCCGGCCCCCTCCCTCCCTGCGCTGCGGCGCCCGCTGAGGGTCCGCTCAGCGCCGCTCCGCTTCCTCCTCTGCCCCCCACCTGGGGACCATCCCGCTGCCTAATCCGGCAAGGAGAGGAAGCGCAAGAGCCTGCCCCCCGCCCCCCAATCTCTTCCGCACTGTTTCTCTTTCATATATACTTTTTTTTTTTTTTGCGTAAAAGGCACAACGCCATCGCCTATCAGTTCCTTCAATCTTGCTATTATTTTTTCTCTTTGCCCGCAGACCCCCCCTAAATCCGGCCGAGAAATCAGCAGAGATAGAGAGAGGGAGAGGGGGAGCGAGAGGGGGAAGAAAGAGACCACCCCTTTTCCAGCTGGCCTCTGTCCACCCGTCATCTGGGCAAGAGGCGCTGCTGCTGCTGCTGCTGCTGCTGCTGCTGCTGCTGCTGCTGCTGCTGCTGCTGCTGCTGCCGCTGCTGCTGCGGCTGCGGCACCATCCCCGGCTCGCTCCCGCTGCCTGACTAACCTGCATTCCCGGGGTTCCCTCGGCCCCACAGGCACGGCTTTGCCCTCTAGTCCCGCCACGGCCCCGGGGCGAGGCGAGCGGCTGCCAGGCCTGAGCTCCGCCGGAGCGCCCGGGGACACACGGGCTCTGATGCGCTCGGGTGCGGGCGTAGACACGTGTGAGGGGGTCACCCACCCTGCGGAGCCCGAGGCAGCAGTGTTTACTGCTCCTCAAGTCTGCAAGGTATCTGTTTTCTAAGAGTTTTCGCTACCCCTCGCCGCCTCCCATGGCCCCATAAAATGTCATTCATTTTATAAAGCAGCAGGGGTAGAGTCCGAGGACCAGGGATGCGCCCTCCCTTCACGCCCAGGGGACGTTCCCCCTCTGCAACGGGTGGGTCATGCGTTCTGGCAAACACCGTTTGCCGGAGGAAACGGGGCACCGGAGAGGGCAGGGAGGAGAGAGGGCCGGCGGAGGCACAGGCCTGCTCAAGAATGATGAAGGAGGCTCCAGAATCAAATTGGAGACGCAAGGAGGACGGCAGCACAAGAGGCAGAGCAGACAGGGATGCTGGAGCAGAGGAACGGGGGTGGGAAGGACGCGGGCAGAGAGGGACGCCGTGTCAGTGGCGTGCCTGCAGCGCTCTGTGTGTGTCTATGTGTCCGTCTGTCTCCAGTGCAGCTCCGTGCTGAGAGCTCGCTGGTGGGTACGGGCAGGGAGGGGGTGGGGCTGGTCCCAGACAGTGACCTGCAGTTGAGTGGAAGCAGGCTTTTTCCATCAAACTCTGCCTGGATACCACACACAGAGCCCAAGTGTCAGTTTACTGCCCTGAGCCCAGCTCCTTTTCCCTAAGCTCCACAGTAATTAGACAAAGAAAACCTAAATTAACTGAACAGGCGTCGACAGCTTCCTCCAGATCACCACTGCTACATACATGGGAATGTGTCCGAAAATGGCTTGATTGTATCAGAGGATAAGTTAAGAAAAACACTACCAAGCCCGGCAATGTTTACGACACATTTTTAATAGAAAAAATAATCGCTCCGTCCATAGACTATGTTTACCTTTCCTGAGGCATCGATTTAAATTGTTCCCATAATTAAAAAAAAAAAAATTGAAATCTATCTATATCTATCTATCTCATATTTTTTTCTGTTGCTCCCTAGAAAGGCAGGGAGGCCGATGTGCGATTCCTAATCTCGTTGTAACGACCTATTCTGCCTTTTTTTTTTTTTTTTTNCTATCTATCTATCTATCTATCTCATATTTTTTTCTGTTGCTCCCTAGAAAGGCAGGGAGGCCGATGTGCGATTCCTAATCTCGTTGTAACGACCTTTCTGCCTTTTTTTTTTTTTTTTTTAAATATCTGTGGTTTGATATATAAACATCTTTCCTTGCTCTAGGTCGACGAGTGGGGGTGCTTTTTCACCTTCCTCGGTGGGATGTCTGTCTAAATGTCATTTTCGGATGACGCGTCCAATATCTGCGATCTTCAGGAGACCAAAGGAATTAAAGACAAGGGGGAGGATCGTTGCCTGTAAATCACTCTAACCTGCCCCCGATTCAGACTGTTGGTTTTGATCATTACTTTTAGTCGAGCGGGAAAAATCGTTTACTCCCAACACAAGATGTGACGATGTAGCGGGGTGTCATTGGTTTCTCGGCGGTGCGAGACAGGACGGACAGTGAGGCAGAGCCGGGAAAGGCAGCCCGGTGGCAGAGCCGTGTGCTGCTTCAATCCTGGCTTGACACAGCTCTGATAAGGGAATCGGAGCTAACGCATGAAATCTTCGACCTGTTAGCAACGTCCTCTTCTTCGCAGCAGATACTTGTTTAAAACACAGCGTTAAAAAATCTTCAAGACATGATCCTGATCCTTTAAAAAGATGATTTAAATTGCCTGTGATTAAACAGAAGTGCATTTGCTGTTTTGTGGAGATGTTTATTTTGGTTGGTGTATCCATTTCTGAGCTGATCCTAGTTTCGGAGCACAACTGGTTTGTTTTACCAAAGTATACGGAAATTAAACTTTTTGGCAGATTTGGTTACTCAGATGTTGTTGTATAATCATAGTTTTTATTCTAGGAAATCTCTTCATTATTGCGGTTTCAGTTTCATGTTCATAACACAGTCCCCTCTACTTCGTGAGTTAAATGAAATAAGTTAGACTAAACCAGTTAAGAAAATGGAAGACAAATATGAAAGATAAATGTTTACAGTTATGTTGGAGTCCTTCCTTCCCCCCCACTTTTTGTTCTTTTTCTGTTCTTTTCCTCCCTTTTTTAACTGCGTGCTTCAGGCTCTTTCCTCTCCTCTGAGGTTCTGCAGATGAGAAGCGTTTTTTCAATTAAAGCCGAGACTGAAACTTAAACAAATCCCTCCAGTATTGTAAAAGTGCGTTTCCTTAAGCCCTGGAGGATTTTCCTCCAACTGTCAGTTTCAGGGTGCCTGGATTTAGATCTCGATCTACAGCGACTGACAGAGATCCCTTTCCGCATGAGGGGCATGCGGGCATTTTAACGAGCTGGAAGGAGCCTTGCGGCCGCAGTGCAGCGCCCAATTCCCGGCCCTGGCGGCCCGGGACGACCACCTGGAGGGTGTGGAGGGGGGCAATCCCACCGCGGCGGAGGGAGCAGAAAGGCCAGGATGGGAAGGGACTCTCAGCGGGCTTGTCCCGTCCTTTGTGCTGCTCCCGGGACCTCTTGACATCTCGGGACCTCTGGCAGTAGCCGTGCGATCCCGATGTTTGTTTAGAGAGGTTTTTCCGCTTTTTTTTTTTTTTTTTTTTTTTTTAAAGCACCCCCCTTCCTTCTCTTTCTTTGCATACGCAATGGGCAGCAGGCGTGACTCTTTTTATAGCCATCTCCCTGAAGGCTGCCATTAGGACCCTTCTTCCCAGCTCCTGTCGAAGAGTCGGTCTCTCCCTCCCTTCCCGAAGCAGAGGAAAAGGAGAGATGATCATGACAATCCGAGGGGTTGAGACACCTCCCATCTCAAGGGCAGACAAGGATATTCAGCGCAAATGCACTGCGTTTTCCCATGTGGGAAAAAGCCCCCCCAAAAAACAGCCTGACTCCAAAAGCATCGCCAGACACGCTCCTCATACAGAGCGGACACCTCTCGTAGCATTTTACAGGGGATCACCTGGGGTATCGCCACGTGGGTTTGGCTGGCTTTCCGTGAAAATACCTAAAGAAAATTTTCACCAGTGTCTGAACGTGGAAGAAAGCTGAGCACTGGACACCTACACGAATGTGGTGATGGTAAAACCTCAGGGCCGCACCTTTCCCTTTTCGTCCCTGCTACACAACTCTCAGGGCCGGGGCAGCTTTGTTCAGTGCCCGAGGACGGCGAGAAATACCAGGAGGGAAACAAAGTTTGGGCGAGAAGCCAGCCGAAGAGCAGAATCTATTTGCCTTTAGGGAAGTGTGTTCCAGGGGAAAATCGGCCTCAGCAGGTGGGAGAAGAGTCTCTACTCAACTCTCCCACGCTGGACCCGCAGGACCCTGGCTCCTGGGGGCGTCCCGCAGGGAGAGGGGCTCCGCGGGCCTCAAGGGCCGGAGGATCCCGCGGAGGGGAAGTGCGAGCATTGAACACCGGGGACGAGAAATATCCGCCCCCTGCCGCCCACCCCATCCTCCCCCTCCGAACAGGTCCTGCTTTCACAGGCATTTGGTCTCTTCAGCGGGCTGCAAAAGAGTTTCTCAGAGTTTAGACTTTCTGGGGGATACTTATGCCTAAGATTTTGTTGCATTATTAATCCCCCAGCTCTCCTCCTCTAAGACTACCTGCATCCCACCGCAGCCTCATCGCTGCCCGGGAGCCGTGGCAGACACACCCTGCAAGTCTGAGCTCCCTAAACCCAGGGTTCAGCCAAGTCGAATTCCACCAAGATGCGGGGCTGTGCCAAAGCTACCGCCCGTGGTCTGCCGGGCCCCAGGGGGCAACCTGCCCCGCACGCCCTTCTATGCTTTCCCCGCAGCCCCGGCACGGTGGGACACGAGAGAAGGGGCGTCCCTAGATGCGGGGTGAAGCAGGGGCTCCGACTAATGGAGGGGACCTGGCCGCCCTGCAAATAACAAGGGTGTTTCAACAGCCCGCCGGAGCTGAGCGGACATCGCGGCGACTAAACCTGCACAGGGACACGCTCCTCGTGTGGTAACAGCGCTGGTTTTGTGTCAGCCCCGGAGTACTTCCACCGAGTGTTTTTGTGCGTAGACTT